ATCTGCTAGTTCTAGAGAAAAAGAACATGACAGGTTGTGCAAGTTCTGCTCAACTGCTTTCCTCCTTACCTTTGTCTTCTCAGAGTTTAGCATGTGAGGACTGGCCATTTGGAAACCACTTCAACAATCAAGAAGTCTGCTTTATTATTATTTTTTAATGGATATATAAAGAGACGTGGCATTTATCTGAAAACTATTTGTAAGTGGAATATGATTGGCCCAAATACCTTCTACCTTTGTAGATACGGTGCAGATCAAAGCACATTTGCGTGGACTTGCTTATTTTACTTCTATTCCTGTTTCAAAAATCAAGCTTCTTAAGAACCTGAAAATATTTTAGCAAGGGCTATGGAAAACAGGCAAAGAAAACATTATATAAGACAGAAAAGCCATAGCGCTTTAGAATGAAGCCAGAAAAATGTATAGGATGCCATCATGGTCCACACAACTACCTCCTCTGGCTTCTCTTACTTTCTTTTTCAAGCTTTCCTGTTTTGCCCATCAAGAACAGGAGCTTGCTTTTTTTTTACTGGCCTGCAGAAGCTCAAAATGTGCAACTGCTGAATAATTTACCATGACAGTGACATTTGCAAAAAGATAGGCCCAAACAACATGTCTTTTGGTTCTGTTAATGTTAAGATGTGGTGAAAGCATGCCAGTTCAAAGTCTGCCTACTTTGCAATGGTACTAAAATGCAGAAGGTACAAAGGTCTTCTGCAGCTGAGCTCAGAAAGTAAATAAGTGACTGTTGCAGCTGCACAGCTGCAAATTGGGCAGGGTGTAGCCATTCAAAAGGGTTCAGGTCCCTAGGGAATACGGTAACCCAAGCCTGGAATCTCTAGCATCCCATAAGGCATTTATCAAACAGTTTGAGCCCCACATAACTTACGCCAGAGATGGCCGTTTTTGGCCAAAAGTTGCATCCTGCCCTGTTTAACACACCAAATCCTCCCCACAAAAAACAGGACCAGAAAAAGTGTGTGGGATTAATAATAAAGACGTGTGTATAAAAAACATTCTGCCTCTAGCAGTTGCTAGCCAGATATTCCTCAGAGGCCCAAAGGAAGTATAGAAAAACTTTAGCAGACAGGACAACCCATTTCCTTAGATATCTTACTAACCTTTACCCACTCCCTACCCTGCCCCCATTTTTTCCTTACAATTGAAAATAGCCTATTCTGAAACTACCTATATTCTTAAAACAATCAACATATTTGATTAAGTAATACAAGTAGGCCTCCTCTGCCCCTCCCCAAGGCCTCCGACAACTGACCTGCACTCCGTAGTGCTGCCCACAGCACCCCCATCCCCCCATGTCGCCCCTACGCTCCTTGCCTGGGACTCCCACCTCTTCCTGCTTAACAACCTGAAGTTACAACAGCAACTGGGGTTGCCAGGATTGGCGTTGCTAAGCAATGCGGCCATGTGACATCATGCTTTATGACCATATTGCTTAGTGACAGCAATCCTGGTCCCAATTGCCATCATAACCTGAGGACTACCTATAGGGCATATTTTGGGTCCATGTCCCATCTTTCCCCAGGAAAACAAAGCAGCCTATGTAGACTTCGCCTTTGATTTTTCCCATAACAACCCTGTGGTATAAGTTGGGCTGAGAGCACAACTGGCCCAAAGTCACCCAGTGAGCTTTCATTATTATTATTCATTAAATTTGTTATGGTTGCCCACTCCAAAAGACTCTGGGCAGCTTAAAACATCCAAATATACAATTAAAACAGTTAAATACATGACAGCAAAAAAGAATTGGCTGAGAGTCAGCTCTTTGGCAGTTGCCTCAAACCAAAAGAAACTATTTCCGATCAAGAATCTCAGTTTTCTTTAACAAAATGTATTGAGATGAAAGGAGGAGGGTTACAAGAATTCCAGCAACTGAATTATTTCCAATTTAGTACTACTCCCTAATACAGTAGAGCAAATATTTTTTAGCTTTTTTCTGCCTTGATGTAGCAAAGAGGTGGGTCTTTTCATTGAGAACAGAGAAGTCTGCAACTGGCTGTTCGCAAAATGGTCTTCTGAACCAACCATTGTGCTGAGGATGGATTTGAAACCGTGTTTCCCAACCTAGTCCAACACCTTAACCTGGGGGTTCTTAAACTGCACTGTGACTTCCTAATGAATTTGTGTGAACCCATCTCTCTCAATAAAACTAACAATTTCATTGGGGTTAGGACTAGGCAAGAAATAAAAATACTGGTTAATAATTGCATTTTAATCAATATATCAGGGATTTTCAAACTTTTCAGGCTCGTGCAGACAAAGCAGGGAGTCAAGCCTAGAGCAAGATTTGCAGAGTTCAAGCTTTGCAAACCATATCAGTTTTTTTAAAAAATTGCTTTCCTTCCAGGGATCCCAATCCAGAATTTGAGAATTACAGTACCTCAACCACTAAATCACACTATAGGAAAAAAAATGCAGTTAAAGAAGAATGGGTCAGTTTCAAAATACCTCAGAAATATAGCTTCGTTCAAATCGAACGCAAATCGATGTCCATTCACAAATAATACTATTCATATTATTTTGTCATTTGTCAGTACCTTTTCTCTAACCCTAGCAAATATTTGAGAGGCTGTTGCTAAGTTTCCTATCAAAGTTTGGTGGCTGGACCTGTTGAAAGTTGATGGCAAATTCATTGGGAGATGAAGCAGGAGCTCTGAAGATTACTCCAAAAACTTTAAGGGGAGGTCCTGGGTTGACAATAAAACCTTGAGCAGGTGCCCTCCACAATCTTTCATGGAACAGCCATTTCTTGGAGAAACATTAGCATGTAAGCAAGCCTATTATGATAGCTCCTCCTTGGCTGTGGATCCTGCCCCAGCTTAGCTAAACTCTCTTCTGGAAGCAACTGCAGCTTTTCTCTGAATAAACAAAGATAGAGAGGAAGGAATTCCTATGATTTTCAAGTAGTTTATGGGTAGTCCTCGGTTAAGGACAATAATTGGGACCAGAATTTCCATTGCTAAACAATGTGGTCATAAAGTATGATGTCACATGACCACATCACTTAGCGAAGGCAATCTTGGCACTCCCCATTGCCATTATTAAGCAAGGATTGCGGGTCATTAAGCAAGGACCTCCTCGCAACTTCCTGCTGGCTGGGGAAGCCAGCAGGAAGTTGTAAGTCCCAGGAGGCTCACAAGCAGGCTGGTAGGCAGGTAAGTGGCTGCTGCCAGGTGTGGGAGGGTGCGCAAGGGGCTTGGGGTGGCTGCTGCAGGGTGGGGGAGACTTACCTGAGTGACTTGTGACCTCTGCCAGCTTTCCCATTGACTTTGCTTATGGGAAGCCAGCAGGGAAGGTCACAAATGGCAATCACATGACCGCAGAACGCTACAATCATCGTAAGTGTGAGCTGGTTGCCAAGTGCCCAGATCGCAATCACATGACCATGGGGGTGCTGCAACAGCCGGAACTTCAAGGACCAGTTGTATCTTTGAACCTCGCTTTGAACGAAGGACTACCTGTATTTTGAATGGTCACATTATATTTAACCTTACTTTTTTAGATTCCTAAAATGTTGCATTCTTCTCTAAGCTCTTTCAAGGAAGGAGTGCGGTAAAGGTCCCAATTACAGAACAGACCCAAAAGGCATCTACTTTCTGTCAAGAAGTTTTTTCAGAAGAAGCAGTCTTCAAAACTGAGCAGTGAAAAGTGAGAAAGGTGGAGGCAGCAGAGACAGTAAACTTCAATCTGCTAATGTCAATGAAGACTAGAGATTGTTCATGCAGGCAGGTCTTTAAAGATGCGAAGTGTTAATGTTTTGGGAAGGCATTGCAGCTATGGTCCAAGAGAGAACGAGGCCGCTAGGGGCTGGCTGAGGAGGACAACAGTCTGCCCTGGAAGGAGACAGAAAGAGCTCATTCACTGTGTATGTTTCGGGAAACCAAGTAGCAGCAAGCTAGAAGCAGGAGTGGAAATTCCCACAAAGGGCCTCTCCTGCCTGCATGTGTTCGTGTTTTTCTTTCCTCAGCAAGCCAGGCACAAAGAGGGATAAAAGTGCCTGAAGCCTTCTGGCTGTGGTGGGTTGGGATTCAAGATGTGCTCTTTGCCCTAAAAAATGTCAAAGAAGAAAAGGAAAATGCTATATGAAAGAGGGAACCTTTGAAACCTCATAGCCGTTTGGATTTTCTGAAGCATGACACTAGGTCCTGTCTTAATCCAGAGAAAGGTAAAGCAGCGGACATCCAAGCATGTGTGCTGTTTGGACCCGGACGTGGCTGTGGCAACTCCATGGAGGTAGATGAGACAATTCCCAAGTCATGACTCCATTGCCTTGCTCTGTTGCAGGACAAATTTGCTCAGCATTCCTTGTGTAAAGTGGGGTGGGGCAAAGTATTTACCCTTTTAGCATGTGGATTACTTGGAGAAAAATGTTGCATCATCTTTCTATGAGTTAATATCATATGTCGATCCTGATGATTCAGTGAAGAGCAATGTTCACAGAGTGTGTAGCTTGGATATTAAAGTATTCCATTAATTGTTGCACCAATCTTACGTGTTTTGATTGCTGTAGCCATCCTGAATCTCCTCTTCTTCAAGGGGAAGCTGGATTTAATCATTTTAGTGAATGTTCACTGCTAGCCCAAAGAAGTAACTTTGGGGAGGGGGACATAGCTTTTTTGATTTCCAAAACATGCTGAACCTGTCAGACATGCTAGTATCTATATCATGTGGTCTTTGCATCTTCTTAGGAAGCTGTCTGGACTGAAGGAGCAAACAGGAGTAAGCGGTTTGTGATTTATCCCATGACTCACCACTGTTTTCTGTATCCCATGGATGTCTGTGCCACAGCATGAGCATATCTCTGCAAGCATGAAAAGGAGGGTCATATTCCTTTGCTGACCTTTGGCAAGCCCCTCCTTTCAAGACTCTCCCTCCCTCTAGTCTGTCTTCGCTGCCTTTCATTCTAGCTAGTTATAGTTCCAGAGAGTGGTTTGGAACTGGAACACCACTGCTTAGGCTCCTCTGTTTCTGCTGCTGCAAAGATGAATCAGAAAGCTCTTCTCTTCATGCTCTTTCTGGCCCTTCTAGCAGTTTTTGCTTTAGTGTGTGTCTTGTTGACCAGAGGTGGAAAGTATGTCAACTGTGCTTCCCCGTCTCAAGCTTTACCCAAGCATCGGAATAGCGAAAGGAGCTGGCTCTTTGCTGATCTATCACAAGAGGAAATAGTCCATGTAGTACAATATTTGAAATCCAACCTTGGAGCAACCTTGGAAGATGCTTCTCGTGCAAAGCCTTCTGATAACTGCATTTATTCTGTTGACTTGGAGTTGTCCCCTAAAGCAGAGACTTTGTCATTTCTGGATCATGGAGGAAGCCGCCCACCTAGACAGGCTCTGGCTGTAGTGTATTTTGGAAATCAGCCAGATCCAAATGTTACTGAATATGTGGTGGGCCCCCTCCCACAGCCAATGTATCACCGGGATGTGACAGTACAGAAGTATGGAGGACAAATGCCATATTATCGCAGGCCTCCACTGATTGCTGAACACAAGCAGATGGCCCACTTTCTGCACAGTACATTGTTCCCCACAGCCCCAAGCTTCATGCGTGAAGTACTGAACTATGATGGGACCAACCTAGCAGCAATGCCTACATCACCAAAGGGAATGAAATCTGGGGATCGTGCAACTTGGTTAGTCCTGTACCAGAATGTAACCGGCTACTTTTTACACCCAGTTGGGCTTGAAGTGCTTATAGACCACAGTAGCCTGGATATCTCCCACTGGATTGTGAAGAAAGTGTTTTATGGTGGCCAATACTACAGGGACATGGCACAGCTGGAGAGAGAATTCACAGAGGGACATATGCATGTGGAAAAGGTGAACAGAGTCCCCGCTGATGGGGGATTCTCCTCAATGAAGCCCAGGGTGCACCATGCCAACTTCAGTCCCCTGAATTATGAGCCTTTTGGACCACATTACAGTGTGAAAAACAACCAAGTCCATTCCTCATCCTGGAGTTTTGCCTACCGGATGGATTTGCACAGAGGACCACAGCTCTTTGACATTAGGTTCAAAAACGAAAGGATTGTGTATGAGCTCAGTGTGCAGGATACATTGTCCGTCTATGGTTCCAGCAACCCTGGTGGGATGTCTATTAGGTACATGGATGGGAGCTTTGGAATTGGAAAGTACTCGTCTCCTCTTATGCGAGGGCTTGACTGCCCTTATTCCGCTACCTATCTTGATGTTACCTTTTTCGCAGAAGTGGAAAGACCTATCATCACTCGTGATGCTATCTGTGTTTTTGAACAGGACATGGGGGTTCCATTTCGGCGTCACTTCTCCAAACTTCAGTCTCTCTATTATGGAGGGCTAAAAAGCACAGCACTCGTCTTTCGCTCTGTGTCCACCATTGGCAATTATGACTATGTCTGGGACTTCGTATTTTATCCAAATGGAGCAATTGAAAGCAAAGTCCGTGCCACTGGTTACATAAGTTCATCTTATTTCTACAATGATGGCCTAGATTATGGAAACAGAGTTGGGGACTACACTCTGGGAACAATTCATACCCACTTTGTTGGCTTCAAGCTGGATCTAGATGTTGGTGGTAAGTATGCAGATTTTCTGTCTCCATCAAGTGGATTACAAATCCTATTCTATTTTTGTTCTGTGCATTATGTTGGATACTATAAGATCTTGTAGCTACGTTTTTATCTTTGACAGAGGTTTGGATGAATTGCAGTATGTCCTTTGTGCTATTTAGGCTTATTGGGTGAAGACAGAGATTGCTATTCCAAGAGTATCAGCCTCTCTTCTTTTATGTTTATACTCCTACTGTAGCCTATCAATGAATTCACTGTCCTTTTCAGACTACTATACTGGCAAATCTTATAAGCTGTTCAGGCTTTGCACTGTTTGTAATTGCAGAGTAAGAAACAGGGGTCTGCTGCTAGGTATTGTCACTAATCTATCCCAGAAGACTCCTCTAGCTCCTTGACCCTCTGCTTTCAGAAATGATCTCTTGTTGATATATATTCCTTTTATGAGGCTCCAATGATCTATCATTTGCCATTTGGTTTCCAGATGATAGTGCTCCTGTCCTCTGAAGCTGGCCTTCTTTTGAGCTTCTTCTTAATAAGCAGAGGATACAACATTTTGGTTTTACTGTACACGTAGCCCCATCTGGCGACCCTCAGGTAAAATTTCTTCTTGCTTCCTTCTGACTGGAAGGCATATGTCCTTTCAGCCTGAAGATCCAAGTTCCAAATCATCATCCCCCACTAGGCCATTACAGCCAGTTCTGGGAAGGCGTCCTGAAGGAGAGACAGGAGGCTTCCCCATCTGGTTTCTTCTCTCCCCCTTCCCCCCAAACTATTACATCAGTTCTGTGAGAAGCAGCCTAGAAGTTTGCTTGTTTTTCAGAAATTTGCTTTGTATTTTTATTTACAAGTGTTTATACTGCTTGTAAGCCACTTTGAGAGATTTTTATCCCAAAAGGCAGGTTATAAATAATTGAAATAAATAAAGAAGCAGAGAATGGAAAAACTGCTAATTCAGTGTGGTCACTTAAGTTGCTTCTCTCTTTGGGTGCTTCCAGCCAGAAAGCTGTTAACCACAGAAAACGTTTATTTTTTCTGGAAGGAACAAACATCGCAGCAGTTTTAGAAATATTAAAGTTGTGATCTTTAGGCATTCATCATCTTGTAATCTTCTGTCCACAGAGCAGGCTGGATATTGAGATGGCAGTGTTGTTCTCCTTCCCCACCATTACAATAACAGCTACTAGGGAGTAAAAAGCACACTACTTTTGTCCCTCCCTCCCTCCCTTCCATGGGCTGCCCAAATTCACCAGAAACTAACATATAAAATCTAAAAGAGCCTTGCCATCCATCCTAAGCAAGATCTGGGGGAAAAGCCAGCTTTTCAAAGACTTCTTAAAAAATGTCGAGGGTGGAAACCATATAGATTTGTGGGAGGATGCTGTTCCAGAAGGCAGGCGCCATGCCAGAAAAGGCCTGTTTTCTGGATCCCTGAGGTGATGTTTAATTGACAGGACCAGGAGTGTGCCCACTCTATTTGATGATGCAGGATGGACAGAATCCATTGGAGATAGGCAGCCCCTCAGATAGCCAGGACCTTTGCCATGTAGGGCTTTATAGGTAATGACTATCATCTTGAATTACACCCAGAAGCAAACTGGCAGCCAGTGCAGCTCATGGAGTAGCAATTTTATTTGGGCATATTGTGACGTGCCCTTCTCTGCCTCCACTGCCATATCCTGGACCAGCTGCAGCTTCTGAGTGGTCTTCAAGGGCAGTCCCATGTAGATTATAGTGCAATAGTCCACATGCAAGGTGACTAGGGTGAGAATGATTGTCTGAAGGGGCCCCTGGTCCAAGAACAGGTGCAACTGGCATATCAGATGGGACTCTACAAATGCCTTCCTGACTACAGCTGCTGTGTACTCTTCAGGCAGGAGCTGTGAGTCCAGGAAATACCCTCAGATTGCACACCAGTCCTGAATGGGGAAAGACTAAAGACCATCTAGGACTAAATATGGAAAAATTCCAGGGCTGGACAGTCTAAATGCTCAGAGACATTAATTTTGTTGGGATTGAACCTGAGTCTGTCCTTTCCTATCCAGACCCCCATACCCTCCAGACACTAGGACAAGACTGGACAGCATCACTTGGATAGCCCAGGACTGAGATATACAACTGGATATCACTAGCATACTAATGATACCTGGCCCCAAACTGGTAGATATTTAAATGTTAAACAGAAATGGCAAGAATGTCAAGCCCTGAGCCATCCCACAGGTTAGGAGCCTTGACCCTCAACCTCTCCCCAGCATCAACTGGAACCACCCACAGAGCAAGGAGGAGAACCACTGTAGAATGGTGCCTCCACCCTTAATCCCAATAGGTGGCCCAGAAAGTCCATGGTATCATTGATGGTACTGAAAGTCACTGAGGGACCAAGGAGAACCAAGATAGTGGACCTCCCATCTCAAAGGCCATCTAAAAGTGTGATCAGTGCTGTCACCATGCTATGCCCTAATCTGAAGGCCAACTGAAAAGAGTCCAGATAATCTCTTTACTCCAGGGCCCTCTGAAGCTGCAGCCTGACCACCTTCTCAAAAACCTTCCCTAAAAGGAGAAGATTGAAGACTGGACAGATGCCTGGAATTGTTGGGTCCACAATGATTTTTTGAGGAGGGGACATACCATCCATTCTTACCATGGTGTTGGGCATCTTGCATTCTCCATTCCCCCTCTTCTCTCATTTTTTGAAGTTGTTGCCTGCTTGCTCAATAACATTCTTGTTCAAACCCCAGACAGGAGATAGCTTAACTTTTTCACTTTGCTGTTCCAACAAAAAATGTACACGGGCAACTTTTTTTTAATGTTTAATAAAACATTAAACAATGCCATTATTGAACAACAATTCCATTATTCCAAACTTCTCTTTCACATTTTTATCCACTGTAATACCATGCAAAGGATTACAATTAAGCTTCCTTGCACTTAAACAGTTAGTTAAACAGTTAGTTGAACAGCCGTCAGATTCACAGCAGGATCTAGTCAGTTCCATAATATCATCTTTTGAATTTCAGCCCCGGCAATCAAAATTAGAGAATGGCTGAGTGGATTAAAAGGCCAGACTGTTTCCCTTCACAGCAAGATATTCTGTACCTAAAACATGAACAAATAACATTCCACCCTAAACAGATTGCTTGTAAGAAT